GAAGGCCTCCACTCTCCAGGTCCAATATTGACTCTTCCCGAAAGGCTTAAGATTCGTTTTGCTTCTCTCTGGTATCTTGTTCGTAATAAACTCATCTTTCATTGCCTCTGAGTCCAATCCATTATTCTATCATAAAAATTCCTTTATAAAAAAGTTTAGAACAACTCATTGCCGTGATGGACATTGCAGAGCATGACTCTGGATGTCCATTTGTCCTTCTTCTTTTCTACTTGCCTTTTCCATTTTCATATCTCAATATTCTTACAAAGTTTCCCAATCATATTGCATATTCTACGCAGAAAAACAAGCCTAAACTTGACACGTATGGTTGCTTAGGCTTTGTGGCATTCTTTTTCAAATAGAGATTTAATTTGTTCTTGATGAGAACAGCCCATAAATAGGGTGACTGGGGCGTCTCAACCTCATTTGGTTGCGCCACTAATTGTGCGAATATATATAGTGGTTGTGTTTGGTATAATGTCAATGACAACTTGCTTAATTTACATTGTGAAGAAAGTGGTTTGTTTGAGCTCAACAATTAATATTAGCAAATTAAGAGTTTGGAAGAGTATGTATGCTACTTATAACTGCTTTATTTTAATTATACAATAAAAGATAATATATTTTATTAAGGATTCTAGATTCAGATTAACATAATAAAGTTTTAAATTTTAGTAATTTATTATGCAAAATTAAAATAATGGAATTAAAAGAAGCAGATCCTGCTAGAAATTAATCTTTCACATCTCGGCTTAATTTTTAATCTGAATCAATTCAATTTGAATCCAAGATTATACTCAACCAGAGATCACCTCAATAGAGAATAGAAAATAGAACATGGGGATTGATAGCGTGCATTTAATATGGTAACCGAGTCAAACCTGCATGCATGAATTTTCTGCTAGATTTCTTCTGGAACACCCATTCGGGCCATTTCTCTACATATATAGTATATTGTTACTCTGTGGTGTTGTTATTATTATCATGGGGTGACAGATTGACTCTGTCTATGTAAGTGTATAATACTACTGAATCCTTATCTTTCTTATTAAGATTATTTAATAAATAAGATGTCTCAAAAACCATGAATTAACTACTCGTAGTTCTAGTCGGTGGTCAATGTGTAGGTGTCCTACACGGTACACACCCTGCAGGGTTCAGGTCGGATGCCTTCG